AAAAATATTTCATTTACTCTTAAGTATTAAAACTTAGTATACATAGAGGCCATGGAGTACACCAACTGTCATGTTATACATATCTTTTCTTGATGCTGTATGTATTCTTCTCAGACATTTGTTTTTCTTTCTATGATTGTACAATGACGTCAGAGTTTTTCTATCTTCGTCTGATATGTTGTTTTACGAGAATGATCTATATGACTCACGCTCTCTATTGCTCTTGTATATTTATATAGCTGTTCTTTGAAAAGAAGTTAAATTACTTCTATATCTGATTTGCTTATTCTATTTATAATTGAATCTTGACCGATGCAATCCTTCGAAAATGTTGAAGTTGATGACGACTCACGTGACTCACTTACCAATGAAGACAGCGATGAGAGTGATTTCGATTTTGACTGTAATGAATTAGTAGATGATCTGGATGAAGTTCAGATCTCAGATAAATATTCGAATGAAGATGAAATGGAGATTGTTTTTATGAGCGAAAGTTATATTGGTAATGGCGGTTTTACATCAATTTCTCTCAGGAATATAACGCCAATTTCAGTATTCAGGAGCTTTTTCACGGAAGAAATTTTAAATCTACTTACTGATCCAGCAAATATTTGTGCAAAACAGAAAAAACGAAATAATAATCAAAACGAAACTGATCGCTGGAAGGATGTGCGAATAAAAGATATTGAATCGTTTCTTGGAATAATTATTGTGATGGCAATCAATGACTTACCGAAAATGAAAGTCTATTGGAGTAAAGACAATGTTTTTCATAATAGCTTCGTCTCATCGATCATGTCAAGAGATCGCTTTCTTCAAATCTTTTATAATTTACATCTTACTGATAATTCATTGGAGCCAAAAAAGAAAACTGATCACTACAGTCAAATTTACAAAGTTAAGAATTTCATTGAAATTTTACTCAGAAATTTCCAGAAAAATTATAACTTTGCTCACTATGATTCAATCGACGAAACTATAGTCAAATTCAAGGGAAGGTCAAGTCTCAAGCAATACGTGCCTTCGAAACCAATAAAGAAAGGCTATAAACTATGGTGTTTATGCGATTCCATTACTGGTTACTTATTCAATTTTAGAATTTACCAAGGAAAAGAAGAAACTAGTGAACAAGAAACACTTTTGGCTGAACGTGTTGTTTTCACTCTTATTGCTGACCATCATTTCGAAGGAAAACATTTGTACTTCGATAATTTTTTTACTTCACCTCCGTTATTAGAGAAGCTAAAGCTGCGGAGAATAAGTGTCACGGGAACTATTCGGGTCGATCGGGTTGATATTCCACCACACTTTGCTTTGAAAGAGAAAATGGAACGAGATGATCACAAGTTAATTTTCATATCCAACACTATTATCTTCAAATGGATGGATACGAAGCATGTCTTTCTAGCGTCAAACGACTGTGAAAACACTGAAATCGTTAGAATCTCTCGACAGTTGAAAAATAAACCACTCATTGAAATTAACTGTCCGAAAGCAATAAAGGACTACAACAAATTTATACATGGAGTTGATCGATTCAATCAAATAATATCCTGCTATACTTTTGATGGAAAGTCGGCAGAAGGAACTGGCTTAGGCTTTTCATTTTCTTCTTCAACGCATCTTTAGCTAATTCATATATCTGCTACAATCAATTAGGTCAGAATAAATTATCATACTTAAATTATTTGGTTTCCATGGCTAAGTCTCTATGTTCTGGCGCTGAGCGAACAAATTTTGGACGACCTCCTTCAAATAACAAGCATAAATTAGCATCACCACCATCTGCTGATCAGTTGGACGGTGGGATGCACTTGTCTGTCAAGGGAACCTGGAGGACATGCGCTTATTGTAGCACAAAAGAAGTGCAAGTTCGATCAACCATCGAATGCTCTACTTGCAAACTGGCTTTTTGTGTAACAGACGAGAAAAATTGTTTCTTTGAATACCATAAAGTTTTTATGGAAAAACTTTGAGTCAAATTCAATAAATTGATAAAAACAATCAATTTTTGATAAAAAAAATTCCGCCCTAAAAGGGTTAAACTTAAACCTCGCTTCTACATTCTTTTTTTCATTGAAAAATGTCTCTAGAATTATTCTTAAGAGCATTTGATTGAATATCCATTAAATTTCTCCTAGTCGCTTTATATGAATTTCCTGTAAAGCAGAATTTACCATCCCATGACATCCTACCCAAATCAATCCCATACAACACCCTCAACAAACGATGCTCATTATTGATGTAGGATCTCAACAAAAGTTGTTCGCTCTTGGTCATATCAACAATGATAGTTATCTCGATAGTATGGTTACAAATTCGAGTACTAACAATATGGCAATACTTCTAGGACGAGATGATGCAGTTTTCCAAAATCAAATAACATTCTCCATCGGATCTACATCAAAGTCTTTATCAATTGGTGATTTCAACAAGGATATCATTATGGATCTCATCATTGCTACTTATGGCAACGATAGTGTAGGAGTATTTCACGGATTTGGTGATGAATCTTTGTCAAGTCAAAAAACACTGATGACTGGATTGAAATCTCAGTCTTACAATGTAGCCATCATTGATTTCAATAGCGATAATTCATTTGACATTATCGTCATTAATTATGGAAGTAACAAGATAGGTATTTTTCTTGGATATGGTAACAGTTTGTTTGATGAAATGAAATTCTTTTCTACGGGAAATGGGGCTTTCCCCATTCGCCGTTTTGATCGACGATTTCAATTATAACGAAAAGCCGGCCTTTTTTTTATAGTTAATAAAGATGAATATAATTTAAAACTTGTTTTACAAAATTTCCAACATAAAAATCTTTTACCTGTATTGTGTTTTACTCTTGCAGCATTTTTAGCTTAGATTCATTTTTAAGACGATTTATTTTAGAGTGTATGTTCAGATGGATGTTGAGCTTTAGTATGAAAGAGCTATTGTAAACAAGAGAGACATTAATTCCTCCAGTTACACCTTATATCTGAGAAATGATTGTTACTTGCAATATCGCATTGTATTAGAATATGATTTAAAAGTACTTCAACTGTTTCCATGTTATTGTCATCAAGATTAATGACACCAATTTTATTCATTCGTCATTTAAATACGTGAGAACAATCAATGCAGTATAGAAGTCTATCCTAAACAAATAACGAAGTTTTCGCTAATTAATCTAAAACTTCTTTTCTTGTGTTCATTTTCCCCATCAATTGAACAATACTAAGGATTATCTCTTGACCATTCATTCTTTTATAATTTACGTGTGAGTATGGTTTCGTAGGTTCCGATCTTCACATTCACACCACCCACCTTCATATGGCAGAATCAAGAACAACTATTTATATAGATAAATAACTGTATATTTTGGATGCAGTTTAATCCCCGATAGTTCAAATAAAGGTATGGTTTGGATCGGCATGAAAATATGATATAATATTTATCTAGGAAGGATCGATTCGGTACAATTAAAGTGAGGATTCACATTCACACTCATATATTTTAATTTATTTTCAGTGAGCCACATTTATGAGAGTTAAAAAACGCTATTATAAATTTCATGTTACAAGCAAGTGCTTTTTTCATAAAATATTTATATATCGTTTCTTATATTACATTTATTTTTGTTGGTGTTGTGCAATGCTGTATCACTTCGTAGGAAAGAAGTGTCTTTTATCGTTCTTGTGTTTGCTTATTCTTGAAGACAAGCTACTTGTGATTCTTTCCTTTATTTTATTTCTTCTAGTGGATGCTTTATTTATTTAAAATGTAAGTTTGACGAAGACAAAATAAGAGTAACTCATTTAAAGTATTCGTCTTTTTCTAAGGTATTCTGTAAAAATTGTAAATTCTATAATAGGAAGTATATGTGTCGATATTTTAATGATAATCAACCTTCGGTGAGTCATTAGACTGAGAGTTTAAATTTCTATTTTCGATAGTATTTCATAGCAGGGAGATTTCTCTCCACTTGAATCAGTTTTTCATTATTAACAAATTTTATTTTCTTCTCAGAAAATTGTGAATGTTTCTTTTTTATGAATTAAGAATTATCTGAAATATGAAAATAATAACATGTTGAAATTTAATCTTTATTTATTGTATTTCGAGTAGAAGATTTCAACGAGCTGATTCATCTACATTATAATAATAGGTATACAAATTTTCAAAGAAAGATAATAAAATATTTGTTTAATATAGTTTAGCAATCAAAAATTGGTTATTTTCCTTTACATTAAAAACTGGAAGTCTTTCTATTGAACAACTACTACCGGATTAGAGTAATTTTTGTGATTCATGTACTCGCAATAGTCAAAGAAATATGCCAATCCATATTTAAACTTTGAATCCCTTTTTAAGTACTTACCAAAAAAAAGCAAATCTTTTTTAAGGAGAAATACAAAATTTTCAATTGAACCCGTTTTTATGTCATATCTGTGGTAATTGCTTATTTGTCGACGATTGAGTATTTCAATAAGGATACTTTCATTTTTATTGAAATTTATCATAACTTGTCAATAAATAAAAACATGTTGAGGAATGAATAATACATTTTAAACTGCATTCTAAAGATCTCAGTGAGTGAATGCTTTTATGATTTGTCTGCTATCACAGAGATTTTTTTATGATTTCTATATAAAATTAAACTAAATTCATTATGAAACAACAGTTTTATGTTTCACATCAGTCTTAGAAATATTTCAGTATCTATTTTGTAAAATGCAATGTAGAATAAGTATTCAAGTGTGCTATTCTTTTCCGATAAATCACGATCCGAATCCATCACAGATCATGATATGAGATTCTATAATATAAAGCAGTGAGAACAACGAACGCATAAATTTTGATCATAAAAAGTTTCACGTTTTAAATTATGTAAGGATTACGCTAACAGATTTTTATCTTATTTTTATATTCTTCTTTTTTCCTGTAATCAAGCGCGTCAGAAAAACATTCAAATGCCATTTGCAACGTTCTATATGGAATTTTCACCTTCGATGTTGGAGACATGCGAGATAATACCAAATGATGTTGAGACATCCGGAGATAATATAGAACGAATTGCTATTGATCAGTGTGGCACTATTGGATCATACTACGATGCATATAGAGATAAAATTGTTGGTAGAGCAGGCGAACAGATCAATACTCACAACCATATATTAAGTCAACCGATGAAGTGCATATTAGTTGACGGACAAGCACTAGGATGCAAAAATTTACTTAGGTTTATGGATATTGACCGTCAACAACGATTAAGTATATTATTGGGACTTACTAATGCAACTGGAATAGCGTCGCTCATCAATTATCCTAATATAATTGATAAAAACACTCGACTTCTTTATATCTGTCAAGAATCAAGAAGAGAATTCATCACACATAATAGAAGATGTTGGACGAACCTACTGCAATCATTAAACTGCATATCATATGCGACTCATGTTATAACTGAAATTATTTGGGGTCTTCATATTCTTGTCATTCTTCAGCTACCTTCTCATCAAGCAAAGTCTATTGATGGAGTGTTACATAAACTAAAATATAATTTAGTTAATCAGCAATCTATAATACAAATCAACTCAGATGAAAGTAGTCTACTTGAACAAATCGTCACAACAACAGTCTATTCAAATATAGATGCTTTAACAAAATGCAAAAAAATTGAATATATTTATGAGAATATAAAAAGTTTACAAGGAGACTATAATTTACATGGTCGACTAAAATATATTCTCTCTCCTATTCCATGTTTCCTTCGTCTTATCATTCCGTTTCTTTCACAATTAGTGTTAGGTGAATCAAATGAATTCAAAACCCTTGAACATTACTTAATTCAACAAAAATCCGAATTAAAACTATTGAAATATCACACTAATTATCGTTTGCGTGATTTATTACAAGATAAATGTGCAACAAAATTGAAAAAAATTCAGAACCAACTTACTCAAGTAGAATATTTACATAGTGCGAATGTTGAGAAATTTACAAGTATGGTTATCAATATCCGACAAGGACATAATGACAGTTTAATGATAAAAGTGAGTTTAGATCCACCACCAGAAATAGAACGATTGAGTAAAAATATTCACATCGACATAGAAAACTTAGAATTGAAACATAAATTGATTCAAGAATTGCAAAGTAATCAGTTTGAATATTGTGATGTTGCTGATTTAGGTATTCAAGGTGTTTTATCTGATAGTGAAATCGATGAAATATTTTTAGGTAATGCTTCTAGAAAAGTTATATTCTATTCAAATGATGACTATAAAAACAATCATAACAGTTGTTGGAAAGATCTTTATTCTCAAATGTTAGAGAAGAGAAAAAAGAATCCTTACCTATGTCTCGTCTATGTTGATTTCACTTATTCAGAATGCAAACTAAACAAAATGAGAATAGCTCAGTTGGAAGGTATGATAGAAAATCAAACCGGAACCAATTCTCAATCAATTCAAAGTACAAGTGAAATGGGCACTGCTGCATTAGTCATGTTAACAAAAGCAGGACCATTAAATCCAGTCTTCATTGGAGACAACATCATCACATCCACCAATACCCTCATGAATTCATCAGTAACACCATCATCAACAGAATCAGTTTCAAAAACACAACCAACCTTAAAACTATTACATATGCGATTATCTTCATTGCATCTGCAGACGCAATCGTCACCTACTGAATATATCAATATTCTTTTGCTTGGAGAGTCCGGTGTTGGTAAATCAACATTCATCAATGCTTTTGCCAATTATCTTCGTTTTCAAAGTCTTGACGAAGCTGAAAAAAAACAATCAATCGTTATTATACCTGTTTCATTCATGTTGACAATCAATGATAATTTTGATGAAAAAATAATTAAATTTGGTGAAATTGATCTAAATGAAAATCATAATGATTTAGGTCAATCAGTAACTCAACATTGTAAAACTTATGTTTTTAGTATTTCGGATAGAAAAAAATTACGTTTCATTGATACACCTGGTTTTGGAGATACACGTGGTATTGATCAAGATAATCTTAATATGGAGGAAATATTTTCTTTTCTTGATAATATTGATTATATCAATGGTATATGTTTATTATTTAAACCTGAAGTCGTACAATTAAATCGTTACTTGAGATCTTGTTTTATGCAATTGATTGATTATTTTGGGAACACTATTGTTGAAAATTTTATATTTTGTTTTACTAATGCTCGTTCAACATTCTTCACTCCAGGTAATACTCTGCCGTTATTGAAAGCCTTTTTCAAATCGTTTCCTGATACGAAAGTTATTTTTGAGAAAAAGAATACATTTTGTTTCGATAGTGAAGCATTTCGATATTTAGTCGCCATAAAAGATAACATTGAGTTTAATACGATTGAAAGAACTGAATTTGAACAAAGTTGGAAAGCATCAGTTGCTGAATCAGAACGTTTTCTTAAATACCTTTGTGATCAATCTGCATATAAAAGAAGCGATAAATGGCAATCAATAAAAGATGCTCAACTTCAAATTCACTCCATGATTCGCCCAACACTAGAAGCTATGAGAAATATTCTGCGAAATATTATTTTATATGATCATAATCTATCCATTAACATTTTTGCAAAACCTGTAACTTCATTATCAATGTTGTGCTATAAATGTGGACGTAATCCTGAAAAGATCAATGAATTTTGGATTATAAAAGATCATTTACATTCTTCATGTAATATGGTAAGTCTCATTTTTCTTTAATAGAATATTTAAATTAAAAAAAAAATACTATCATGGTTTTTGCATCATTTCAGTAAAAAGTATTTCGGTAATTTTTATCGAAAAATTTGGTTACGTATTTGATATATATTTTTTTTATTGAACATTGTGACGAATCGTTAACCATAGTCACTTTCGTTTTTTATTTAAAAGCACGTTTACTTGTCACATGTAACAGACTGAATAAATTTAAAGCAAATTTTATACTTTGGCTTTGCTTTTAATTGAAGTAACCGGTGGTCAAAAAGTTTTGACACAAAAAAATGTTTGTTTATTTTTGACTCACTTGAAAGTATTTCGGACGAGTGAGAATCTATGCGTTCGCACCAAAATTTTGTGCTCTTTCAGAATATGAACTTAGAAATTTTGTGTCAGTTTTTGTTCGAGAGTAATGAGTTAACCTTTGACAGGCCCAACGAATTTGTTTGGACGATGAAAAAACAAATTATGTTAATCCCTATAAGCCTTTTTGCGAAGATGCTAAAAATTTTACGATTCAGTAGTTTTGTAGAGCGAATAATTCTTAAGAAAATCTGATATCGAGTTAAGCTGTAGTTTTTAGTTAGGAGAAGCTATAGCATTTCTCCAAGAACTCTTTATACGTGAAACGGTTTTCAGTCAAAAAGTCGATTTTCAAAAATGATAATTTAGGAAAAATGAAAATCCAGAAATCTTATCGAAAAACAAAAAGAAACCAATTCGTACATTATGTAGGGTAGATTTTGCTCTAGAAGCTCATATAGCATCAAACATTCCACCTTTCAGGTTCGAATCACAAAAATGAAAATATAAAAATGTGTGAAAAAAATTTCCGTCCAAACGAATTTTTTGAACCTGTCAAAGATTAACTCAGTACTCTGGAACAAAAATCGATACAAAATTTCTAAGTTCATATCCTGAAAGAGCATAAAATTCTGGTTCGAACGAATAGGTTCTGACTCGTCGGAAATACTTTCAAGCGGGTCAAAAATAACTAAACCTTTTGTGTCAAAATTTTCCGATCATCCGTTAGACTTTTGCTTTTTCTCGTCAAATAGTAAAAATGTTAAGACATTTCAAAATTCTATGACATAGAATGAGAAAGACTGGTTATTTATTAATACCACTGTTTAACTGGGTTTGGCGAATCTTTTTAATTAAATTCTCTGATCTGTGCATTGAATTTATTAGATAATCTTTTTGCATTCTTATATTTTGTAAAGAAAAATCTGCAAAAACTGTTCTGTATTCATATAAATCATAAAGAAAGTTCGTTAGCGTAACTCTTTTTGAATTCATATGTTTTCGATCAAATTATAATGCTAAAAAAATGAAAGTTAATTCATAGCAATTTTGAATAGAGAAGTAGAGATCGTCAAACTTGTCTCAAAGCTTAACGTGATAATTTCTTTCGAAAATGTGAGTTTTGCAAGGGCAATAATCTGATGTTAGCAAAAAAAAAACTCATACATAAAACGGAAGTTAAAATCACTTAAAATATTTTACTGGAGTCGAGACTAAAAATAAACTAAGTTTGCAGATGCATATCCAACGTCATTCTTTGAGAAAAACATTCACAATACTTTGAAGAACGTGTCACTTGATTTTGAAGATATATGATCTATATTCAATCAAAGGAATATATTACTGAATGAAAAGTTTCGAAATGTATCTAAATATATATTTATAGTGTACACCAAATGAATTAAAACAAACTGAATATAGACTCGGCTATGAACCTGTCAATCATCATGCAGATGAATCGATCGATCAGATGAACAAATATATCGATGTTCTCTGTAAAGGATGTGCACGTTTGATTCAGTTTTTAATCAAGACTTCTCAAGTTGAATTGAACGATCCATTTTTATTTGGCATAGAAAAAATAATAAATGAAGAAAATTTTATTTACGAACAAGAAACATCAAGAGATTTAAATCAACAACTAATTGAGCGATTAAAACAAATAAAACATCAATACCAACATTTCTTGGATGAAATACAATCAGATGAAAACTCATCCAAAATTTATCAATTAATACAGAAAATGATTGAAATACCAATGGTTAAATTACAATTAGATGCCATTCAAATTTATCATCAAATTTTACTGAAAACTAATGAGAAAGATGTTTCTATCAATAAAACTTAGTCGTATCAGAACAAAACTATTTCTTACAAACCGAACTTTCTTGACCAATTTTTTATTCGCTTTTCATGATTATCAATTCAACAAAAATCTTATATTTTATTCTTGAATAAATTTCTACATCACAATCAGATCAATTTTTGTTTTCTTCTTGATACTTACGTGTATTTTGATTATTTTCTACAAATAGGGTATCGGTGTCGGTGTAAATGACAAGAAAAGATCAATACCAACACTCCCACTTACACCCTCATGTAGTATCGAAAATTTTTACTTTTATTTATAGTTGTGAATAAATCTACAAACTATTTATTATCTATTCTCGAAGAATCTCCTGTCATATCTACAAATAGCTCAGTTTGATGTTTTTCAATGAAAGAAATAGAACAAAAACTTAAAAATAAGAAACAATTGTCTTTTGATAATTCGATGCTTGATATTAGTTTCTGGAGGCAATCTCTAAAACATTCAGAGAAATTCGTAATATTCACAATTAACAAGATGGAATAATTTCGAAACTTTTTTGTAGTCCATAAATTTAAATAATTTTCATAAAATTTGGATATGAGCGCAGAAGATACAAAAGTTCCATACGTACTCACACTGTCAATCTAAACTCAAAGCAGTATATCCACACAAACACAACCACATTCCACCAAATTACGTTACTATAAACTTACTATTTTTACATTGATTATCTCACCAGTGAGTTTTCTTCACGGATGTATATAGATTGGAAAGAGTCGAACCGAGAAATTCATCATTAAAAACATGTCTTTTTGTCTTCTGAGCCTAATTTGCAATCGACACTATCCTGCAGAATTTCCTTTGACATCACATAAATATTTTCAAACATGAATATTGAAATCAATTTCGACACACTTTTTCCATTACACTTCTTTTGTTTGCCTAGAGAGCCTTCAGATGAATTGCTATTTTTTTTGCATATGCTTCAATTTATTTCGTCTTTGGGCACTTCCAATCATTTGAGCTATTTTTATTTTCAAGTGTCCACTTCAAAATTCATATTCGTAGAGTGCTGATAGACGATAATATGAAAACGCTTTCTCATTGATGGTGCAAACCTACCCTTGTCAACACATAGAAATATGCTCATAAGAATGATTTGTTTCGCAAATCTTATGAAGATTGGTCTAAAAGAACAAATTTTTCGTCTTCGAATACAGAAAAAAGCTAAGATCAGGCACAGTTATTAATATCCATTTTTGAAAAAAGGCGTTCCGAGAGAATGCATATAACTTTTGAAGGAAAAGTGATGGAGACCTGCCGTTTTCACCATTTGAAAGAGGACATCGCAGGACGTAGATATAGATCAAAATATGATTGGTCGGCTATCCACCAATCACGTGAGTCCTCGCTGGACATTTTCACCATCAAATATTCGGCATATTTTCTGATCAATTTTGAACCCGAAAGTGACCATACGATAGAGAAAATTGTTGTCTTTCGATCTACATAAGGCCGACCTTTCTAGCCTGTTTCGTTAAAGAGTTATAAGGGTTTTCCTGAGACCCCTGATTTCAGCCAATGAACCTTGGACCAAGTCCAAAACTATATGGGATGGGATAATTCATCATGCTGAGTCGAATAGTGATATCTGTTTTTGGATTTGAAACCATCCTACACTGTGTTTTAGGAATTGTCTACATTTCCCAATATCTACTGCCGTGTTTCACATGAGTCCACATTTCGGAAATATTGAGATAAAAGCATAAGCTGATTTGGAATCCAAAAAAAGATATCACCATTCGACTCAGCATGATGAATTATCCCATCCCATATGGTTTTGGACTTGGTCCAAGGTTCATTGGCTGAAATCAGGGGTCTCAGGAAAACCCTTATAACTCTTTAACGAAACAGGCTAGAAAGGTCGGCCTTATGTAGATC